CAATTTCTTATTCTGTGATAGTAAAAGCATAAATTTCCTTTGAAATTTATATTTTCTGTGTTGACAGCATAACACTACATGTTGTGGCCTTTTAGAATAGTGCTGTTGAAAGGCTGTAAAGCTTTGTCGCACTTTTGCAACTACAGACATACAGAGTCACGCATCGCTTAATGACAGGGATACGTTCTGAGAAATGCATGGGTAGGTAATTTTGTCATTGTGCGAAAATTATAGAGTGTGCTTGCACAAACCTAGATGGTATAGCCTACTACACACCTAGGCTACGTGATACTAATTTTACGGGGCCACTGTCACATACACGGTCCATCGTTAACTGAAACGTCGTTACGTGGCTCATGACTGTATGTGATACTTAGAATTTTTATTTTAAGCCAAACAAAATAAAGCAAAACATTGTAGTCTCTTGACCTTTGTCACAGTACTTCTTCACGGCCAAGCCAAAATTCCTTGTGATTCTCAGGAAACATAATATTTCAGACAACTCTGAGAAAATTATGGCTAACTCAGACTAAATAAATTATGCAAAGGTGTATTGTGAGAGAATGGCACGATGAAGACAGGAATTCAGGGCTTTCTCTATTGTTCTCAATGGGGGGAAAAGACTACTACAGACAGCTACTCACAACCTAACTTACTACCCCTATTTCTGTCCAGAGTTGAATTTTTATTAGGGTACACACCAGTACTCCTAATCCAGGGAGGGGACTAGAGAGCTGGAACCAGAAACGAGTAGGGAAGAGATCAAGGGGGAAAAGAGCGAGGGAAAATACAGGCGCGAGCTGACTCATTTTCCCCTCTCCTGGCGTTGCCAGTGGCAAACTCCAGCTCGCTCCCTCTGTGTGCTCTGGCAGAGAAGCAGCACATTCCATTTCCTTAAGTCTCCGCTAGTGCGGCCTGTGTTACGGAATTGCAGAAAACTAAGTGGGGGGGAGGAGGGAGATTCATAGAAGGGAGTTTTTTCCTTTTTCTTCAAAAATGGTAGGAGGAAGGAAATAAATAGCACACATCAATATGGAGAACTTAGATTAGTGAGGGGAGTTAAGCCACACAGTGCAAATGGTTCAAGCTTTTTGGACTTCCATTTCCTCATCTGAACAAGCAGGGATGCGTGTTAGTTCTAAATTTCTATGGTTTTGTAGTAAGACACCTTGAGAAAGTAATGACTGCTTTCATGGAAATAAAGGAGGAGATAAGAAACTAACAATTAGCAATATTCATCTTTTGCCAAGTAAATGGGACTAGGGTTTTTTAAAAAATTCTTTTGGGAAGATTAGCTCTGAGCTAACATCTGCCACCAAGCCTTTTTTTTTTGCTGAGGAAGATTGGCCCTGAGCCAACATCTGTGCCAATCTTCCTTACTTTATATATGGGATGCCTGCTACAGCATGATTTGATAAGCCGTACATAGGTCCACACCCAGGATCGGAACTGGCAAACCCAGGGCCACGGAAGCAGAGCATGCAAATTTAACCACTGTGCCACAGGGTCAGCCAGGGACTAGGGTCTTAAAAGCATAGACTTGCAACTCAAACAGCCTGTGTTTGTGTATGTGTTCTGCCATCTACTACCTGTGTTACATTGGGCAACTTACCTAACCTCTCTGTGCCTCCATGTCCTCCACAGTAAAACAAGGACAATAGTACCTATCCCAAAGGGGGCCTGGAATTAAATATACATAAATTTATTTGTATATAAAATCAGATATTTCATATGTGAATATATGACAGTAGTATTATATATATAGAACAGTACCTAGCATAATGTAGTTGCTCTATAAATGCTATATAACGATTATTACAAGTTTGTAAAGTGACAGCCCCTTTTTGTAGAGGAAAAACAAAATGGGTGAGAAAACCAAGACCTTAGAGCTTTGAGTTTTTCTGACCTTCATGTTTAGTCTCTTAACTATTACCCAATACCAGTTAAAAGGAGAGAAAGTCACAGCATTTTGTAGGCAGCTAGGGCAATTCTAACAGTTACATAACCATCAATCAAAATCTTTCAATGAATACAGAATAAAGCCACATGTCACAAAAGTCCTCCAAACCCTAGCACAACTCTCGGGACAGAGTAATAACAGCTATTTTGCCTAGGTAAAGAAATGCCCCGGAGGGATTACTCTTGTGTTGGGCTTGAAGTCCAAAGAAATGACTGACATCTAGTCTAAAGGTTCTCAGAAATGCAAATCGCCTACTTGAAATTCCAGGGAATTTAAACCTCTGCTTGGAGGAGTCTGTCTCTGGACAGGAGGAAGAGACTTTTCTGAAGAGGGAATCGTACACCTTTCCCCAGTTGGAGGGAAGGTTTTGGTGGGAGGGGAGGGAGCACCATGTGGACAACTCCAGACTCAGAAGTCAAAGCCCAGGGGGACCCCATCTCAGAATAAAATGAAGTACAACAGATGAGAAAACACAGACTGTAAGAATTACAGGATTAGTCTATTTCTCTTTTTTTTTAGGAACCGTGAAGATTCCATTACACTCAGTGGCTCTCGCATTATGGGAAGAGGAATCCTAAAACAAATCAGCTGTTACTGAGAGTTCACAAGAGAAAAAGAACACAGACTAAGTCTTGAAAAAGCTACAAGATATGAAAGAAGAATCCAGAAAGTAGTAAACTGGGGATCGAGATACAGTATCTGAATTTAACTTATCTGTTCAACAAATATTTATTCCTTGTTTACTTTTTGCCAAGTACTATTCCAAAAACTGGTTATACAGTTCTGATCAGACAGCCTATGACCCTTAGGGGATTTAGAAAGCTCGTGAGGGTGAAAGAGAATATACAAGAAAACACACATATATATATAATTGTGAGTCATCGTGGTACTGCAACAGGAAAAGAGGATGCCCTGGAGAAGATAACACAGCGTAAAGAATCTACTTCCGACCAAGTGTTCAGGAAGGCTTCTCTGAGGCGGTGACAGGTAAGGGGAGGTCTGACCAAGGAGTAGGAGGAGCTGGGAGAGGGAGCAGCATTTTCAGCATGTGAAGTGGTAGGTGTGAAGACCCCACAGTGAGAGCTGATCTAACCACGAGAAGGCGGTCTGGGTTACTTGACCTCAACAGAGCAGACACCGCTTTTTCTTCCCACAGTAATTACTGAAGATTTTTAAATCTCATGAAAACAAATTCAATCAATGGCTTCACGTTTTTTACAAACCTTTCAAAGATTATCTTAGCCCAAACCCCCGTCTTTCTCAGATTACGGACTCACTTAGGCAAGGCCAGCCTTCCCCCTCTTGAGAATAAAAATAGCTTTTTTCAGATCTACTGTTATAATTGGCTTTTTTCCAGGGCTTTATGCTCTACTGAAACTAAACACTTAAATGAGCAATTTAACTCTGGCTTTTAACCTAGGAGAAACAACCACCTTTTTGGTTCTGCTTTCAGATTTGGGGGCCAATTTTAAATCGTTAATTTCTAATTAACCCCTTGTAATACTATAGAAGCAAAACATCTGTGGTCCTCTTTCAAACAGCCCTGTACTATGCACATGGGTAAAGCAAATAAAATGCAGAAGAAACAAGGTATTGAGGACGCTTCTTAGGAAAGCAGCCTGGTTTTCGTGCTTCCACGTATAATTGAGACATGCTCTAAAGGCCTTCGGACATGGTGACGCGTTGCTTCATTCGGCCAGCAGAGGGAGACGAGTGAGTCGTCAAGCACCAAACGGAGCCACACCCAGATGATGGTTGCTTATTGTCCAAGTGTCTCCCCTGATTTTTCAAAAACACAAAAAGAAAATGGGAAATTCTTGTCAAGGAACACAACTTTTTAAAATTGAGGCCAAAGTCACATAACATCAAATTAGCCATTTTAAAGTGTACAATTTAGTGGCACACATCCACAAGCTTGTGCAAACATCCCTTTATCTAGTTTCAAAACGTAAGGAATGCTTAAATTGTACAGAAAGAGCACTTCCAAAGGCCCAGCCCCGTTCTATCCTTATTTCGTCACACTCCCCGTTTTGCGTCCACCTGCATCGTGTTAGGAATGGTTCCCGCGCATTCCCCAAACAGACTCCTTCCCTATACAATTTCCAGAATCTGCTCCAGGGTTAAAATTACACGTTCGAAAACCAAAACCATCTCAATTCTTCCGTTCTTTCTCTAGGAATCGCGCAATTGCAATACACAGCCAGTATGGGTGACTGTTGAAAAATTTTATACATATTATGTTTGTCAATTCTTAGCAAAAAAAAACCAAACCCGAATAAATTAATTTAAATATAGCTACAAAACGGAAATTAACAACGTGCTGCACCAACACTCTTCAGCTTTTGATGTGAACCCTTCAGAATGAAAATTTAAGATAGTTCTAGGTTAGAAGGAGAGCCAAAATTTTAAGGGCACCATGTCAATAGGTTAGAGGACAAATTTGAAAAAAGCAGAACTAAATAGTTAATGTAATAAAAGCTGGAGGTTTACAACCTAAATCCACTATTTCATTAAAGAATTTAATCTACTTCATGGGGCCTTGGCCCAGGGAAGAGCAAAAAAATGCCAAAGTGGAGAGGCAGGGGGAGGGGAGTCGCTGGTGGTGACTGGGAAAACGGGGGGAGGGAAGCAGAAGAGCGAATGAGGCCGGATCCGCCCGAACAAAGAGGCAGCAACTCTGTCTCAACAGCCACCAAATCCAGTTCAGGGCGGTTTGAGCCAGTTTCTGAGCTGGATTGAGCACAACAGCCTCGGCTGAGAGTTGCCTAGGGTGAAATAGAAAATACAAAATGGACTTCGCAGAAAGAAGTGGATTCGGCCTGGACTGCAGGAGCCTAAAGCTGTTTCCTGGAGTAGCAAAGTCAGTTCAAATGTAAGGCCTGGAGCCGGAACAGGGGCGTGTTACAGAAGGAAAAAGTACAGAACACTGCCTCTGTGCCGCGATCCAGTCCGCATTTTCTCTCTTACCGCCCCTAATTGTGGCTGGTAAGGGAAAAGGGCCTCAGGGTATCAGTTTTCAGAGAAAGCGGGCTGCAGTGTTGGGGGAGGGGAGGATTATGTGTCTTGGGTAGTTTAATGTGTGTGCGAGGTGGGGGGGCAATGTGTGAGAGGGTCTAAAGGAGAAGGAATCACACTTCACACCCTTCAGTTCACACCACCTTTCCGCACCTTTGCTGCATTATTACACAACCTCAAAATACACTGCACATAGGTGTTGTGGGAGCGCCCAACATACAAATGGCACTTGTACGTGTAATTACCAGGCTTTTTCAGCCCTATGCATTAATGACAATAAATGTACTCAATACTGACAAGATGCCTTTTTCATTCGTGTCCTAAAATACATACAAGCTGTACATACCTTCTCGACCAGGAGACGCAGCAGTATTAGGTAACAGGGGAATGATAATCCTGTCCTCGCCTCCCCTCCCCCCGGGATGCCAGAACCTCCTGACATCTGATCGCTCCCACCGTTAGGTTGCTCCTCTGAGAGTCTCATAGTCTGAACTGTCGTCCGCAGCTGTTGAGGATGTGCACATCCTGCGGCCAGGTTCGGCTCAGAACCTTGAAGGACCAGTTACATCTCCTGACTCCCCAGAACTCCAAAGGCTCCACAGGAATTGTAGACTAAGTCTGGGCGTGCTTGGTAGTGGGGGAGCGGCAAAGCAAATTTGGGGTGGAGAGTCCTAAATTCCCTCTCCCCTGAATGTCCAGAGATGTTTAGAATCTTCCAGAGGCACCAGGGGAGTACCTGCAGACTCCAGGGCTTGTGACTTGGAAGGCAGCCCTGGTGTGGGGAGGCCTGTGCGGGCCTCTGTGGGGCCGGTACAGCTCACATACACACATTCAATTACAACTGGGTCTGTAGGTTTCAGAAATTCCCTAAGAGATTGGGGGAGGAGAAGGGGAAAGGTCAAACTGAAAGAGGTCACAGTGCTATTTTAATCTCTTTCCCATAGATACATGGTGGACAATAGAAACACACTCACTTCGCATTATTCATGTGCAACCATCTACCACAAATGAAGGTTGTTACTGACATGTTCTATTTGACACTCATTACACAAATAACTAACTTACACAGCACTTCTATATTCATTTCATTAACCGTTAGCCCTGGGCTGCTACAGACTCTGCTGGAAGGTTTTTTGTTGTTTGGGATTTTGTTTGTTTTTCAGTAGGGGACAACGTTTCTCCCCACACGAAGGTACAGGAGACTACAGAAGAGATGACGGTAACAGTAGTAATCATAATCAATCCTGAGAGCTCGCTGGAAGTCAGACACGGTACCAAGTGTTTCGTGTATTAAATTATCTGATTCAAGACCCATTGTATACCTCTGAGTTAGATGTTACTGTCCCCATTTTAGAGATGAGGAAAATGAAGCTCAGAAAGTTGAGGTATTTTATCTAAGTAGCCGACCAAGATTCCGGCTCCAGAGTTGATGCTTTTAACCGGCTGCTGAGCTGCCCCCTCACTGGCAAATAGTTATACACCTTTTTCCAGATCCTACTATGTGTCGGCCTACTTAGGGCTGGGGGGGAAGATGGTCACAGTGAGAGGGGAGGAATTGGTTCAGCGACGAGAACGTGGTTCCTGCCTTCAACAAGCTTTCAATCGAATGGCTGTTTTTTCAAGGACAATTCAGGACTGTCTGACAAGGGATTATTTTTTTCTGCCTCTGGGCCTCAGAGGCCATCTGGGAAATACAGTTTGGAATTTCCCTGCCATTTCCGTGCTGTGCGGGAGGAACATTTGAAGTCAGGACTGCCCTGCTACTAGCAGGCAGCACAGGCAGGCGGGGCGGAAAGGGGCAGGGCCGGGCCGCCGGGAGCGGTAGCCATGGCAACGCAGCTGCTTTCCAGAACAAAGTCTCTAACCAGGAAAACAGCTCCAGAGAGCGCTGTCTTCATAATCCCCGCGGCCAGGCCAGTCGGGCCAGGGAATGCACAAAGGGGATTCTTTTTTTGTAGAGAAATGACTCTTTACAAGACCCAGAACAAAGGAAAACATTTGTTGTATGGGGTCTCTCTTTGTATTTGGCTGGAATAAAAGCAACAAAGCACAGTTACTTAGTTCCTCTCCACTCTTCGCAGGAAATGAACACAGCTTTGTTACGCAAGCTTCCTATTTTTAGATAATATTTGTTTAATTTTTATTTTATCCCCATTTTACAGATGAGAGATTAGTAAGCATGAATGGACTTGCTCTCTGTAAGACTATAATTAAAACACCAGGACATCCTTTCCGAAGGCTTTGTGAAGCTGGCCCTGCCTTTTGCCTATTTTATGATAATCCTACCGGATACTGTGAAGAGGGATCATGCGCACGTGCTCGGGTGGCTTGGGAGCTACCATGGCTCCTTGGCCTCTGATCCTCCCACTCTCTGCTTCCAGCCACTCACCCCTCCCCGCCAGGCATCCATAGCCTGGAGGAGGAGGGGGAAAGGGAAGGGAGGAGGAGAGGGGAGGGGAGGAAGAGGGGGGAGGAGAGGGGAGGGGGGAGGAGGGGGGAGAGGTGAGGAGGAGGAGGGAGAGGAGGAAGAAGGGGAGAGGGAGGAAAGGAAAGAGGAGGGGGAGGGTAGAAGGAGGATGAGGGGAGGGGGAGGGAAGTGAGAAGAGAAGGAGGAGGAATGCGGAAGGCATTCCAGCCCCACCCCTGCAGTCTCCACTCCAGCAAGTCCGGAAACTCGGGCTAAGAGGGCTAAAAGAAAACAGTGTGCTGAGGGTGACTGTACAACTCCAGGCTTTCAAGTGATCTACCGCCAGACTACACCCTGTGCATTGAAGATTGTCCCTAGCTTTGCTTAGCCAGAGTAAGACCTCCTCCCTAGAGATGACAGCAGGGCCAAGGTTGTTAATCCTCACCCACAATCCAAGAACAAAAGCAGTTACTCTAAGCTGAATAACAAACAATCTTCCATAAATGCCCACACCTATAAGTAGTGTAATTTTTAACAGTTAAAAACCAGGAGGAGTAAGAGCTCAGCCACCTGGTGGGGGGGGGGGGGCCCTAATCCATCATATCTCCAAGACCAAAATCAAACTGGCCCACACCTTAACATCAGTCCCTTTGCGTGGTGATATGGAGGAAGGAAAATGGATCATATTCTTCTGGGGGTGAATTTGTAGGAATTGCTTGAGGGGCTGCTTCAAACTACACTTTCCACCCCATCCCTAGAGTCTGTTGCCATAGGATTACTTGATGGGAATTGTCACCCCCCATACCAACAAAGTTGAGAAACACTGCCAATGTCACCCTTGTAAGGAGTTAATTGGATGAAATGTTGATATTAAATTAAGGCCTAAATTTGTTGTACTTCCCACAGTTATTCATATTTCAATAGATATGCTTAGCTTACCCTACTTTAGGAAGTAAAAAAATGGATCTTTATAGTGAATTTTAAAAGATTCTGTTAGAGTATTGGAAATTTTTAGAATGCAGGAACATATAATCCCCCTCCTTGGAGTTTGATCTTTTGTAATATTCATTATTCATTCAACATTCATCGAACACTTCCTATAATCAGGCACTATGGTACTATTCACTACACTGGACCTGTGAATTTTAAAAATCACATAAAACATGGAACTTACTTTCAAAGAACTTACAGGCTGGGGTGGAAGATACCCAGGAAATCAGTTTCTGCAGAGTGGTATGATATATGCTTTATAGAGAAAGGAACTAGAAGATGTGCTGTGGGAGAAGAAAGGAGGGACATGAAAAACAGCAAGGCTGGGTGGAGCAGTGAGATGGTGAGCTTCTTGGAAAGAGCTGAA